AAGAAAGTCTCAAAGAAATCTTGAAGGCAATTTCCATGTCAAGATGCTGCAACAAAAACGAAGAAAGCCCCAAGGAAATCTTCAAGGGAATTTTCATGTCAAGATGTTGTAGCAAAAACGAAGAAATCTCCAAGGAAATCTTGAAGGCAATTTGAAATTCGAGATGTTGTAATCAAAACGAAGAAAGTCCCAAAGAAATCTTAAAGGGAATTTGCATGTCAAGATGCTGCGAAAAAACAAAGAAAGTTCTAAGCATTGAAAATTGGATTATTTTTGAGCATTACAGTATTTTGTGAGTTGTAAACCACGAAACACTGCTATGCTCAAATTTTGTGAGGTTTGAGGCTGTGAAAAATTGATTTTTTTTGAGTATTACATTGTTTCGTGGTTTAAAATTCACAAAACACTGTAATGCTCAAAAAAAACAACTTCTCCAAGCTTTGAAATGCACGAAATACTGCTATGCTCAAAAAATTCCAAAATTTTAAAGAATTTGCAACCGGCCTGGCCATAGATGCCAGAATTTTGGAATTTTTGAATTTTTTTGAGCATTGCAGTGTTTCGTGAGTTTCAGGGTTAGGAATTTTGGAATATTTTGAGCATAGCAGTGTTTCGTGCTTTAAAACTCACAAAATACTGCAATGCTCAAAAAAAGTCAACTTTTGACAGACACAAGGCTCACTGTTTTTGAGCACAGGAGTGTTTCGTGGTCTAAAACGCACAAAACGCTGTAATGCTCCAAAAAAATCAACTTTTCACAGCCTCAAGACTCATTTTTTTTGAGCATAGCAGTGTTTCATGGCTTACAACTCACAAAACACTGTAATGCTCAACAAAAAGCAACTTTTCATTGCCTCAAAGCTCACGAAACGCCGCTATGCTCAAAAAATTCCAAACTTTTCAGAAATTGCCCCCGTCCTGGCCATAGATGCCAGAATTTTGAAATTTTTGGAATTTTTTGAGCATTACAGTATTTTGTGAGTTTCAAGGTTGGAAATTTTGGAACTTTTTGAGCATTACAGTGTTTTCTGATGTCCAGGACAGGATATACTGCATCATAAGATAATTGGGTGCTTTCAATCGTTTTCAAGGACTGGAAGTACTGTTTTATGTGCCTTCTGCAACAGACCCGGTTTTCATTACTCTTGTTTGATAAATATGAACAGTCCTGCTTCATGTTTGGAGGGTTGCAAGAGCTCTCTTACTTTTTGCTGCAGACGAGCCTTCTTGTGCGCCCGCATATGCACATGAACCTTTCAACTCCAGGGGAGCTTTCCGGTTTCTTATGAGGCAGGCAAAGAACAACTATTGGAGTATTGTATCAAAAATAAACGCGCCCGTATATTCGACTTCCTTCATGTCTAATGGACAGGACATGAAAGGAGCTCTCTGTATTTCGTAACTCATAAATCAAACGCTAGAGCGATTAGGCCGCATCAGAATCGGACGCTTCACGAGCAGCGGGAAAGAGATGGCCCACGCACCAAGACGTCTTCGTAAGAGAGACAATAGTATTTTTATTATTACAGGAATGTTGTTAAATAACACACCATAAAACGCAAAAAAACACGATGTTTTTTCGTATTACATGAACAAAACTAGCACGCCCTCCAGTATTTCAGCTTCTCCAACACATAAACTACCATAACTCCGCGGCCGAGATTCGGCCCCAGATGTTTACACATATCAAACCCGCGCCTTGCAGCAGCACGGTTTGCATGCACATGAGGTAAAGCACGATTGTATCGGTATTTACGGTGTTTTCGGTATATATGAGTAGTCGACCAATATAGAGAAACAACCTGTGGAATCGTGTGGAAGAGGTGGTTGTAGATCTTTGGGGGGGGTGACCATATATATACACACCTTGCAAAGACATCTGGAATAGCCTGCAGAATACCTCGTGGAATATCATCTTCATGCAAGATACCCCCTGTATATCTTTCATAAACCCTGTAGAATACCGTATCGAGAACCTATAAGGATTTATATAAGGACAACCAGGAGGAGCATAAGATCTCGGAATAGAGGTTTTCTGTAGGAAGTCAGGAACTCAGGCAAATACCCTATAGAATGCTTTACAGAATATACCCTTTATATGCCTTAATGAGTTTCATAAAGAATATCCTGCAGAATACGCTGTAGAATCCTCCCTAGATACCTCATACACATATATATATATATATAAACGCACACTTGATTGAATATTCTACCCACTATCGCCTAAGAATACCTATCATACCCGTATGTGTATATATATATATATCATAGCCTAAAGAATACCTACAGAATACAATCCTAAGAAAATCCCTATAGAGTACCCGATAGAACGCTCACAGAACACTCTAGAGAATGCAAAACGCATACCCCATACCTATATATATATATATGTATAATGCCATGATATGATAGTATTACCCTATCCGATACCCTTTCGAGTACCCTATGGGATACCTATAGAACGCCGTAAGGATAGAGCAGCCAAATAGTGAAAATCAAAAGGAGTCCAAGAGCTGAGAATTCCCCTAGTTGAAGTGGAGCTTATTATTGGAGCTTATAATTGCGTAAGGGCTTTCTATGAAGGAAACCAGGAACCTGAAGGAATAGCATCATAATCATAAAGTACCATATAGAACACACCCTTTCTTTACAGACCCTAGAGAATTTCATATAGAATACACTGCAAAATACCTCATAAAAGACCCCACCAGATACCTCAGACATACCTTATTGAATACCCTATGGCGCCTGTAGAGTACCTTATAAAGTACGTTCTAGAATACCACCTATATGGAATACCGTGTAGAATACCTTATACGATGCACCCTATATACCCCCGATGTACCTTATAGAATACCATCTGCAATACCCTACAGAATGCAGCTGGGGTTTGAGGTTCAATAGCCGATATTTAACCTCAATGGCCCCCCGCCCGGAATCCAAGATCCAAGATGTCCCCAGAAAGTTTTTCAGCCAATCTTGGATTCCGGGGGGGGAGTGCTATTGAGGTTACATATCGGCTATGGAACCTCAATAAACCCTAACCATGGAATCCAAGATTCCCCGAAAAACTTTCTAGTGGCATCTTGGATCTTGGATTCCGGGGAGAGGGGGCTATTGAGGTTCAATCGTCGATATTTAACCTCAATAGGCCCCCTCTCCCCGGAATCCAAGATCCAAGATGCCCCCAGAAAGTTTCCCGGACAATCTTGGATTCCAGTTCCATTGCCCGCTTCAACCTGGCTTAATTCAGGGCATTGTTGGAGCCGTGAATCAAACCAGCTTTTGGAAGGGAACATGTAGGAACCTATCCAAAAAAAGTTCCCACGGCGTCCTCTTCTCAAGTAGTTCTGGGGGCGGGCGAAGCGGGCGACACATTTAGTAAAGTAGTTTTTGGGGCGGGCGAAGCGGTGGGCGACACATTTAGTGAAGTAGTTTTGGGGGCGGGCGAAGCGGGCGACCCATTTAGTAAAGTAGTTTTGGGGGCGGGCGAAGCGGGCGACACACTTAGTAAAGTAGTTTTGCGGGCGGGCGAAGCGGGCGACACATTTACTAAAGTAGTTTTGGGGGCGGGCGAATCGGGCGAAACATTTAGTAAAGTAGTTTTGGGGGCGGGCGAAGCGGGCGACACACTTAGTAAAGTAGTTTTGGGGGCGGGCGAAGCGGGCGACACATTTACTAAAGTAGTTTTGGGGGCGGGCGAAGCGGGCGACATATTTAGTAAAGTAGTTTTGGGGGCGGGCGAAGCGGGCGACACACTTAGTAAAGTAGTTTTTGGGGCGGGCGAAGCGGGCGACACACTTAGTAAAGTAGTTTTTGGGACGGGCGAAGCGGGCGACATATTTAGTAAAGTAGTTTTGGGGGCGGGCGAAGCGGGCGACCCATTTAGTAAAGTAGTTTTGGAGGCGGGCGAAGCGGGCGACACATTTACTAAAGTAGTTTTGGGGGCGGGCGAAGCGGGCGACACACTTAGTAAAGTAGTTTTGCGGGCGGGCGAATCGGGCGACATATTTAGTAAAGTAGTTTTGGGGGCGGGAGAATCGGGCGACACATTTAGTAAAGTAGTTTTGGGGGCGGGCGAAGCGGGCGACACACTTAGTAAAGTAGTTTTGGAGGCGGGCGAAGCGGGCGACACACTTAGTAAAGTAGTTTTGCGGGCGGGCGAAGCGGGCAACACATTTAGTAAAGTAGTTTTGGGGGCGGGCGAATCGGGCGACACATTTAGTAAAGTAGTTTTGGGGGCGGGCGAAGCGGGCGACACACTTAGTAAAGTAGTTTTGGAGGCGGTCGAATATAATAATAATAAGAAGAAGAAGAAGATGATTAATATATAATATAATATTAAAGCATATCTTATATAAGTGATATAATGTATTGTTTAGGGGTTGGATGAAGGAGACGGGGCGGGAAGGGGGCGGACGGGGGGGGGAGTGATGGGGAGAATCATGGGGGGGAGGGGGGAGGCGGGGGGGCGGGAGGGGGGGAAGGTTGGTTGCCTTGCTGGGCGTGCGTTTGCGGGTGTGGGAGCAAGGGCATTTATCATCTGTGCGCCGTGCCCTGTGGAGTCCGTGGAGCGAGTTCGGAGCTGGATGCAAGGGCTATATTGTCATGTTGCATGTCTCATTATCAAATATATATATATATATATATATATATATATATATTAACTCTATTTATTACTAACCCTGCTACTATACTACTGACTATGGGACTGTGGATGTTACTATCATCAATTATCATTATTGTTCTCATATTGTCATTATCATGCAGTCATGAATCATGAGTCGTGAGGAATTGGCTGTCATTGAGTCAAGTCATTGACATTGAGATGAATATTTTAATAGACAATTTGCGCAATCCTGCTGGTGCATGAGTGGCTTGTGCAGCCACAGTGTAGCCGAACATGCCGCCGGGCGTGTGATCTCAAAGCTCGCAGTAGTGCAGTGTTGGGTAACTGTAGTCAGTCGAGAGCAACTGCTCTGAGGTAGTCAGCTTCGGTCATGTGGGGAAAAAGCAGAAACCCCAAGGCAAAGGCCGCAGACAAGCAGCCCAAACAGCCGAAGTCAGGTGGCCAACTGGCCCTTGCTGTAGCACAGCCACCAGCTGTGTTGCCAGCGTAACAGGCGGTGCAAGAACAGCTGGAAGCGGGCACCACGCAGTCGCTGGGCAGCGTTGTGCCTGCTCCAGTCCCGCAGCTGGCAGCAGCAGTGGCAGTCGACGGGCATGACCTGTCCCAGTTCAGCGAGATCATACTGTCGCTGGAACTTCCGGACACCTACGTGTTGAAGGTCTGCAGCTTGTGCGGTCAGACTTCCTTGGATCCCAATCCTTTCGAAGGGCACGCGGATTGCAAGGCTTGGCAAGGGACACTTCTGTGTCCCCGAGGGGTCTTCTGCCGAGTGTGTTACTACGTGTTTGCGCACGGTGGGTTTGGCACCCTCTACCCGAATATCCGGGACTACGTCAAGCACGTCAACGCAACTCCGCAGGATCATGCCGAGTTTCGCGAGAGCCGCGAAAAGTACATCGTGATGAAGCTCCAGCAGCCGTCGTTGATGCTGCGCAATCGCATAGACCTGTGACCTGCCAGGATTGTGCAAATGCAGAAACAGGCCAAGGCTTAAATTGCGGCGTCAAAACAACATCTTTGCGCTCTGGATACCTACACCCGAAAGGGGGTAAGCCTCACCCTTCCCAGATCACCTCGCGCATGTTTCGCAGTAAGGAGGTCAAGGGTGTGCTCGTCACCAGAGACGAAGATGAAGGAATGTATGGGTTGGATGTTACGGAGGAAACCTCGGCGGTCATGCAGTGTGCCATGGCAGAGGTGCAACTCCGCGAAGGTCAGGCGGAAGAGACCTTCGACTTGTTGTCCCGCAGCGTGGTCGGCAGCCATCTCTATAGCGATGGCTCAAAGGGCAATGGGCCAATGATCTTGATGCCGGCGATTGAGCCCGGTGCCGGTTCGAGTGATGTCGACACTGCGAAAGCCAGGGGCAGTTTGCTGAGCAGTTTTCGCTTGGTTTCCAGCAAAGCCATCCAGGATCGAGATGCTGCCGGCGGCCAGGCCCAGCCGTCGGGTGCGGACCAGTCGGATGCGGCAGTGAAGCCTGCAACGGTGGAGCAAGCGCCGCCGACCGCAGCAAGGGCTTCAGTTGATCCTGCCGGGAGTTCTTCGAGTGCCCCAGTTGCCGCCTGAGCGACCGCTGCTATCGTGAGTGAGAATATCTTGGGCCCCGAAGCGATGGATTCCTTTCCTAGCGCTGAAGAGGCCCAGGCAGCATTCGCTAAAGTCCGGAATAAACCTGGGCAGGGGAAGCGCAGCGCTGATGATATGCAAACGGCTGACGAGGCTTTGTTGCTGAGTATGCAAGCTGATCTGGCAAGCATCTGCGACACGTCGGCCCTGGAGTGCAGGACTGAAGAAAAGCTTATGGAGTATGCAGCTGAGCAAGCCAAGAAAGCAGCAAACGTCCATACAAAGTCCATCGGTCGGGTGAGCCAGATTAAATGTCGCAAGACGAAGCAGGATACGGTATTTCAGGAGCAATCAGACGTTGGAACGCAACTCCAGCAAGCCGCCGAAACCGCCCGAGCTTTCCAGAAGTTCTTCAACGAGCTTGCCTCCAACAACCCGTGCTCTGTGGAACTCACTGGCATCTTCAAGATCTTGGAAGAAGTTGGCTACAAGTTCGCCGGCACTGCCGTTGACAAGATGTGTAGGGCATGCATTTTTGAGGACATGAAGTTCGGCAGGTGGGGAGTTGTAGCTCAGTATTTCACGGACAAGTCCGATGTAGGCAAGCGAATGAATGAGGACTGTGCGGATCAGTTGTTGGGTCAAGTGTTTCAGCGCCTTCTTGTGCGCTTGCCTGTGCTTGGTAAAAGCTTGCTGAGCACGGTTCACTACAAAACCTGCACGGCTTCATCCACGCATTGGAGCGTGAACCGGTGTTGATTGACAGTGATTCACTGAAACAACAACTCGGCACCCTTGCGCAGGCAATGCGAATATTCTCTGGCCAGGAGACGGATCTTGCGCACGATGCGCTGGCAGCCGTCAACGCCATCGAGACGGCAAGCGCTGCGGATCATCAACAACTTCTTCTCTGCTTCATGCAGGTGAAGCAGGGGAAGATCTGTGTATAGGAGCTCAAGGCATTCTGGCTGAAGCGAGCCAAGGATCAGCTCCACTTGAAGAAGCTGAGCGTTGCCAAAGAAGGCATCCAGGTCGCGGCTGAAGGGCTCGGAAAGCCTATTACGGAGTCGGAGGCAAACCTTGCCGAGAGAATTCCCAACGCCAAGGGCTACTGGGATGACCTCGTCGAGGCGGATAAAGCCGAGCCGAAGGCTTCCGACATTGCCAAGTCCTTGAAGGCTGTTTGGCTCAGGGTTGCAAAGAGCTTGGTCAGAGATCATCTATGCCGTGAGTTCGTGCCACACCTCATATCAGTGGCCCGTGACATTGAGAGCCTGAACCAGATCCGTGATGAGCCGGGCTGGGAGATCATGCTGCTCCGCGATGCATTCAGTGCAGCAGCCGGCGACGACACATCGTCTCCCTTCCAGCTTCACGACTTCTTGGCTTCTTTGTGCAAGGCTTCCGCTTCGTGGCGAGCGGTGGAGCAGACTGAGAGTGAATAGTTCGGTAGCAAGATGGATCTTCATCAGGCTTGGCAAGCAGTTCGTCCTGTTCTGGAACTACCACGGCAGACTGTGACATGCCATCTCTAACAGCCGACGTTGCCTATTTCGACCGTGTTCTCACAGGTCTTTTGCTCTCTGGCTTCATGAAGCAGGCGTGCGAGCTCAAGAAGTGTATACTCGAACAAGTTGTGGAGACGAGCGCTGCCAGCAGGTGTGTCACTGAATTTCGATGTGAAGTGATGCAGTCAATTCCTTTATGATTATGGAGTTATGGTTATGGTCCCGTGTTATAAGTTAAGTTATGATAATAAATACTAATATAGTAATTGTAATAAGTAATAATAATAAAATCTTATCGCATATTATCTTCTTTATATGAGTATACCTAATATATTTTAAAGCAGATTGACGATGGTACCGCCAATCAGATACAGATAGGCTTGAGATAGGATCTCAGGCTATGCTTTGTGCAGTACCAGTTTGATTTGCGGTTTAAGACATGTGGTGTAGTGAAGTTGTTGGCGGTGTAGGTTTGAGTAGCGATTGAAAGTTAAAGGTGTGTTGCGGGGGAGATTTTGGACCTAAAGTCTTGCGTGCTAAGACGTGTTGGCGGTCACGGTTTCGGTTTGTCACGGTTGAAAACAGTTACGGTTCAAGACACAAAGTTAGCGACTTCGTTGGCGGCTGTTGCCAGTTGTAGCTCTAGCCGTTTAAGAGATGTAGTCGTGAGTCGTGAGCGTGGGAGGTTTCAGATGTTGACTGTTGACTTGTAGGCAGTTTAAGACATGTGGTGTAGAGAGGTTGTTGACTGTTTTATCGTTTTCAAGATAAGTGGGGTAGAGAAACGTCGGTGGTTACAGCTTACATTTGTCAGTTACCGTTGGTGTAGAGAACAGCGAGCGGCTTCAGCGTGTTTAAGACATGTGGTGGAGGGAGTTGTTGGAGCTTTCAGGTAACACTTTAGGACATGTGTTGTAGGGACTTGTTGGCGGCCGTTTTAACATACTCAGACTCAGTCATGCAGTGAAGGCTCCATTTCGATGGTTGACGCAAGTTGCACTTTGTATGTCCGGTGATTTCTTGTGTTGTTGTACCAGATCTTTAGCCAATGCCAATACACTGGTAACCTGTCGTAAATGTAGCTGTAGCAATTTGGACTGGCCTGAAACCTTGGCCGAGTCCAAGATTTTGATACGATGGCCGCCTTCGCAGATGAAGCCTTGTATCATATAACTTATCTCATCGTAGTCCGCGCTGGATATGATGATACACACCTATATGTAAGGATATGTATGTAGATAGACATGTACGACACTCCTTGTCGTCATATCTATGGTGATATGATGCAATGGTGCAATGTGATATTCTTTAGTTTTCTGTACCGCTGTACCAAAGTTGGCTGGACTATCTTTCCTTGTCTTCCGTGTCAGGCCACCCGCTTGGCCGTTGCAATGATGTCGGAGACCGAGTCAGCGGAGGAGGCCAAATCCTTGAAGCTTGTCGCCGAAGAAGGGGAGCAGTACTTTCTGTTCACCTTTAATGCCCTCGTGTTCCAAGCGAATGTAGACAAGATCCAAATCAAGCCGAAGCTCGATCAGGTGACGATTGAGATGTGCGAGCGGTTGAGTTACTGTCGGCACGCTATCATAGACACTTGGGCGAAGAAGGATTTGGAGGCGTCGGCTTCAAGTCTGGGCCTATAGAAGGGCTCGGAGCATTTCGCAGGGTATGTCGAGATTCTCCATAATATCTTTCGTCGAGAACGGGGGGTGCTCGCGCGTATTGCAGCAGATGACTACGGCGATTGAGGAGTGCAAGACTGCCTCGCAAACGGCCTTGGACCAGATGCCTGCGATGGAACCGTTCGGCGAGTTCGTGACTGCGGTGAAGAAAGTGCAGCTTGGCGAGAAGTGCAGCAACGCCAAGAAGATTGTCGATGCTTGCGAGACGATTGCCAAGCACTCCGGTCTTCATCCTGATGCCGAGCTAGTGGCTTCCTGCAAGGGTGTGTCCAAGCATGGGCTTGGGCTTGTCGCAACCGGCAGCATCAAGCTTCTGCTATCAAGCAAGCTGTGGACTATACTGACTCCCGACCTAGCGAAGAATAAAGACTCCAAGCACTACTCTTTGTTGCAGAGCTTGAACGAGAACCGTTTCTTGGTGCAGCAGTGCGGGTTGGAGATCCCTGCAGACCTGCAGGCTGCCATGACCGAGCGTCTGCAGAATGCCGGGATGGCCGAGAAAGGTACAGTGCAGGATGTCATGCCTTAGGTAGGAATCGGGAATCCGGTTTGCCCTTTCTGGGTGACCGCTTGAAATCTCCGGCTAGCATTGCTCCCGGTCTGCAACAATTGTGATCTTAGATCGTAATTTGTAGGTTGTAAGTTGTAAGTAGTCTATTTCTGCGTAGATAAGGGTTTTTCCAGTTAGAACATGTTGTCACCCTCGTTGCATCTTTAAGACTTGCGGTGTAGGGAAGTTGTTGTCGGTTATGCAATCATATCATATCACATATCATGTTGCGGGATGTGGTGTAGGAATGGTTGGCAGCTACAGTAGCAGCATGTTGATGGGTTTAGCAGCCACTTGATGTAGGTAGTTGTCGGCGGCTTCAGTGTGAGTTTCTGTTTTAAACACTGGCTCGCAATTCGTTGCCGTCCAACTGGCATGAAGGTCGTATCGAAGGTACTGGTTGGTAGGAACGTACTGCTGTATATGTGTTCAATCGTAGACGCTCCGGAAGCAGTGCGGTCGCGCGGAAATTGTTACCTGAAGAACGCGGCGTAGCCGGTCAGGTAATTTGTTTCGCAGAGCTCCATGACTCGTGTTGTTTGCCCAGTGGTGTTTGGGAAATAATTCAATCAGCCGCAGATCAATGTAGTGATCCGCAGTCATCGGTGCTTGAAGCGGTATGTGCCACTTAATTAACGATTGGGTAATTGACGCATAGGAACCTGCTGAAATCGGCAGTGCATCGCATGTGGCGTGAGAAAGTCAGTTACCGGCACTTATCACTTATCTTGAGCGGCAGCGGTGTTGCACTTGTGCACGAGTGAGAAAACTTCGACACAGACCGCGGCATATATAGACACCAAACGGCAACTTGATTTATCCCGCGGCACGGTGTCATCGCCTGGTAGACTACAGATGTTATAATACAGATACCAGCATCTACTTATGTTTCAATCTGCTTCAACTCGGCATTGCTAGATACAAACGTCGCTTCGAGTGTGTGGCAGTTGAGCCTCGCTTTGCTGGGGCGATGCCGCCGAAAAAGGCAAGCAGTCCTACGCCGGCCAAACCGCAGAAGGTCAAGAAGGAAGCAGCGGAGAAGAAAGCAGCGGCAGTGGCCGCAAAAAAGGAGGCTAAGGCTAAGGCTGCAAAACAGAGCACGCCTGCCGAGGCCAGTTCGGGTGTCGATTCTGCTGCTACTCCTACAATCGAGCACTTCTTTGTGGGCGTGGTGGGTCAAGAGCGTGAAGAGCGTGGCCAGAAGCGGAAGCTTGCGGAGGAGGCAACTACACCAGAAGTGATTGCAGCAGCGCGGAAGGAGCCGGAGCCACCGATACCTGGGCTGTCTTGTCCAACCACAATTGATGGTGGGGTGAATGCGGAGTCACTGGTAATACGTGAGCGTTTGGAGGCGGCCTCAGAAGTTCCGCAGCGTACAGCTTCCCCAGACGATCGAGCCGGACAGGGAGCAGAAAACGATCCAGCACCTCCACAAGCAGAAGTCGGCCCTCCTTCAGCGCAAGACACAGCAGAAGAGTGTGATCATCAAGGTGGCCGTCATGGCGATGGTGATGCTGACGGTCGCTCGTTGGATGCGGCTGCTTGTGACGGTGGCAGTGCAGCTCCAGCAGGCACAAGCTTCGGTTCGAGAGCATTGGTCTCGGCTGGTTGCAGTGGTGCAGGTGCTGTTAAATTGTATCCACGTTAGAAGTTTGAAGTTCAAGTTGTAGACTCGTCGGTATGAATTAGGCTAGCGGCTAGCGGCGTTCCACAACGGATCGCGCAGGCGGGATTGATTCCACAAAAATGATGGGAGACACAGCCAGCTGTTGACCGTTTTCTCCTTTTCCAAGCGTCATAACACAACCAACACCACCCGCGCGCCCCCACCCACCACTGTCTCCGCAACCGCCACTGCTGCCACGACCTACACTGCCCATGCCAATGCCACTGCCAACAGCACAGACTTGACACGGCCACATGTGATGTTAGCTATGTTGTACGGGTGTAAAGTTGTAAGTTGTAAGTTGTAGTTGTAATTTGTAACTGTTCTATTTCATTCATATGTCATAGGCTGTAAGTTTTGAAATAAGCATAGCTTGAACTATATATCGCTCTATCTCTATACCTTTTCTGTGCCAGTGCCTGAGCAATCATAGCGGCAGTATGACTACGATATTTTTTCGACAATTGTTGAGCATGAATCTGGTCGACGACCCCCAGCTGAGGATTGCTTGGCTTTACAACGGATTTCTTAACTCCCAAAACTCCCATCCCACCGCGGGGCCAGAGCGCATTTGCTGACTTGCAAGAGGTCGTGCTGAAAGAGGCGGAGACGGCTTCAGACGCAACAGAAGATGCGGGCAACCAACCTGTCGCTGGTACTCCTCATCCTCTGGACGAGTTGTCTGAGACTGATTTGCTAGGAGATTTTCCAAAGCGGCCGAACGCCAGGGACCAGGAGGAGTCCTTCCGTGAATCAATTTACGATTTGGAAAGTCCTCATGCTACGGTTGATATACCGAATTTCTTAGCAAATGTGGCAGTCCACTTTGCGGCTGTAGTGAAATAGGAATAAGAAGCACGTGCAGCAGGCGAAGACGTGGAGCCAAAGCCGTGTGTTCTTGGCAATATGCTGCCGAAGAAATTGATTCTTTGCTCTTTGTGCTCCGGGTCAGGATCTGGAGAGCTGGTAGCGGATTCAATTGCACAGGCCTTCAGCAAAGCTTTTGGCACAACTTTGGATGTGGAGGTTGCCTTCGTCA